ATGCCGGGGCTTGCCCCCGAGGCGGAACAAAGAGCGCGCTGGAGATCAACCAACGGCAACTACCACCCGAGACGCCAACTCCGGGTTTTGTACAAAATAAACCCTCCGGATGCATTCCATAGTTACGCCCTTCTTATTGTGTTCTTCCTTAGGGATTTCGACGGGTGTAATTCGACGGTGACACACATCAGATGCCACCGTTAAAACAGTCACTCGATGTGGGGTAGTCGAGTTCGATTATCTATGTAACTTTCTCAGATGGTAGAGATAATAAAAGGTCCAATTCACCGATCCAATTGTGGGCATGTTAATTCCATGGACAAGGCAGTACCTTCAACCGACTGCCACCATATTACCTATCGACAGTCTACGTGTTGTAATCCAGTACACTTTCAGCGCTTCCGCTAAAAAACTAGTACCTGACTGAAATAGTTCTTAACTTTAGTAGACACATGCCCAGGTACCACTTTTGAACCATCCTCCCGCACGTTTTTGTCATATCGAAGTAAAAACGTTCATTCCCTCAAAAAGCCAACTGCGTCTAAGTAGGAGTGAGCATTTATTTACATTCACATTCATTCTTTGCGTCGTGGAAAATTATAACTGAAGAGAAGTATACTCTCGGAGGTTAGGTAATTGACTTTTGAGGAAGCAAGGGGACTCCAAGATGTTCCAAGCAAGCCTGGGCCGCAGCCTGCTCAGCGTACCGTTTCGATTTTGAGCTAAAAATAATACAGCGTACTTTAAACAATTAAGTAGGTAGATTAAAATATATGAAAAGTGGACCTGTCAATTTGTAAATTCGGTCAGAATCCTCAAATGTCTTGGGAGTCACACTTAAAAAAACTTCAGATAATGACTTACGGAATAGTGTGCGAATATCGTCGACCATCCACGAGGGCAGTGGCAATAAATGATCGCGTTGACTTGTTCTCAACCTACATAAAGTGTAAAATTGGTATAAATAGCACTTCTAAAAGGTGTGCGGGTAACTGAAAACAAAGGGTAGATAGGTTTATGCCTGACGGAAACTTCAAATTTTATACACCAACCGAGAACTCCAGATAGCATCACTGGTTGAAGGATAAATATGCAGGAACACCACAGTTTCAACAGGAATTATCACCTGGTATAATTATGGAAGGGATCTAATAAAGCCTGATATTAGTCCATGAGGTTCAGCTATCGTTCGCCAACTTATTCATCAGAGAGTGCCATACGGAAGGAGTCACATGGGCCATAAGTTTATAATCCTCATTGGTTTTGGCATTGCTACACTTACCAGACCAGATAGGTAAAGCTCATGCTCACGCAACTCCTCCAACTTTCTCAAACGTTGCCCGCACGCCTGAACACGTGGCTCCAGTGGCATTTCCGTAAGCTCAGTTAGAAACTTGAGCCACGTTCAGATTTTAAATTTTCGCAGCTTAGGCGCGATTGATTGACGAAGACGGAGAAATCAGTACCTGCTTCGTCAGATCAGGTATCCCTAGCGATTCATCACAAGGAATATGGTGGCATGGCAAATAAAACTAAACAAACTGTGGAAAAGACGCTATTTCTCAAAGTCCGCTTTTTAAGGAGACGCATTATGTGAGCTAAAAAGACACCTTGACCAAGCCGTGTCAAGAACCTTCCCAGCAGCGAAAGCCTGGGCATTCAGCTTTTTAATTTCTTGAGAAATTAATTTCTGTTCGCGGTATTCATCAGTATATTTAAGGTCTATAGGCATAGACCGAAATTGTAAGTGTATATTTGGGTTTAAGCCCGTCAACAACTGCGAAATATGCACTTGCTGCCAACAGACAGACTTTATTAGTATATATTGATGCTGTAACTTACCATACTAACAGCCTAGGTACTAGCTGAGAGGC